ACCCATCACCCACCCTACCCTCCCTCTCACCCCCCATCAACCCTGAACGAGCATTTTTAATCTAATTATCAGAGTGCTCAATTATTTGACCCAAATATACATACATATCAGAATCTCTGGAGTGTGTTGGGGGAAGATACATTTTTTTTTTCTCCCCAGATAGCACAGCTTAAAGTGATCTTTCTCCACCCTCCCAGTCAGGACTCTGGGGGGCTGTGCACGTGAATAGTGTGCAAGCAAAACAGAAAAGCAAAATCCACCCACATGTTCTAGAACTGCTGACTAAATTTTAATTAGAAAGCTTCATTTTCATGAATCATCAGGGTGGCCTATACTTTCAGAAAAATGTCGCAATAGAGAAGTTTGCCTCTGTCTCCTGTACGGATCAGGAATGAGGACAATTCAGTGGAAGCAAAGAACTGGCCAGCAATCCACTCACTTCCTTTGGTGAGTGATGAAATTGGTGAAAGAAAAGAGGGGAGGAGACTCTAGGTACAGAGATTATCGCTCTTGCTAGTCAGAAGACACCTTATCTCTGAAATGCTCTTAACAGAATGTCCCTGGCTAAGGATTACCTATGGGAAACAGAATCCAGGATCTTTGAGGCATGGCTGGCTTCCTGGAGGATGTCACTGAAGTTATACAACTCCCTGGGGGCATACAATGGAGCCATCTCATAACTGCAATTCTCCCTTGTGTGTGGGATCCCACATGTAGACACCCCATCTACTCTGGGAAATTGCCCTTGAAAACCCAGACCTCTCTGGTTCAGTTGAGCCTTTTGATCGCCTGTATCATTGTAATTATTTAGTAAAGCTTGGTACTAGAGAAGACTGCTCTGATTTGTAAGAGTTTGATTTGATCATCTGATTTTGTATGTTAGTGCACTCGACAACTCATCACACCTGAAGGAACAGAGGTAATCACTAATTGGGTTGTAAGGACTGTATGCAGTTTTATTTTAGGCCATGCTTTGCTGCTTCTCTGGAAGCTCAGCCAATTGGAGAAAAACATTATCAATTTGATTACTTGGTGTCTCCGAGTCTTCCTACAGTTGTGGTCTCACTAGAATACTGATACAAGCTAAATTTCCCAACAATGAATCACAGAATCAGAGGAGGAGGGGAAGTTCAAAGTCAACTGGTTGAATGTTCTACAACCAAAGGAAGGCTCTACATGCCCTTGTTATGTGGTCATGATCGTCTGCAAAAGGGGACATACCTAATACTACTTTCTGAGGATGGCCCTCCCTGCCTTTTGTCATTTTTAGGAAGAATCCTTAATAAATTGTACCAAATCTCTCTCTGCAATGTCACCTACTGGTTCCAATACTACTCCTTACTGGTTCATTCTGGAAAGTTCCTTCCATAAAAAAAAATATATATATACCATTTTAACAGAAAATACAGGTATATTTTAAAATCAACAGGCTTTCATCTTAATGTATGGAAGCATCTACCTTTCCTATAAAGCTTGAGATTGGGAAAGATCCCCCAAGTAATCTCACTGTATGGCATCACCTCTACATATTACTATTCTCCTTATGCTGACACCCAGGCCAGTGGCACAGACAGGCTCAAAGTTAAGGAAAAGCAATATGGATGAGTGGGGAACAGGATAAAAGTGGTACTGTTTTAACATCAACCCTGACAGCATATGTGCCAGGTACCTGTGAGAAGTAAGGGAGATGATTCATTTTAAGAAATACCAAATAAACGCTGTGCTGTCTAATTAATAGGTTTATGACCTGTTGGAAATATGTATGAACCACCCCCCACCAACAATGGAGCCCCCAACCCTTAGACACTTCACTTCCTGGTTCTTGTTCCCCTCTCCTTTTTGCAGGCTTATTTTTGCAGGCTTTGCAATGAGCATGCACCAAAGAACAAAGGGAGAAGGGAATGAAACCTCTGTGTCACCTCAGGGAATGTACATTTGTTCCAGTCAGACTACTTTTTATATGGGCATAGGAGACTTCCGGGTAAGGCTGTAACCTCTGTAGTACTCAGCCAATGAGAAATCAGGGGAGGGACTTGC